GGGGGGGGGTGAAAATAGTCACAAATTAGATGAAAATAGAAATAGAATTCGCGGGAACACCTACCTTTGCCCATAATATCCGTCACCAGGGACTTCCACTGTCCGTCCAGCACGTCCAGCTGCAGCTCCGTCTCCTTCGCCATCTCCGTCTTCAGCGCTCCATAGAGGGTGCCATTAACCAGGCCGAGCTTCACCGTCTCCGCGACAATCTCCCCGGGAGTGAGGGCGCCGCCCTTGACCGGCCGGTCGGCGACGTAGGCGGCAAAACGGTCAAAGTCCGCCCGACTGTAGACCGCCTTGTAGCGGAGCATCGCCACCGAGGGCACGTTGTAGTAGCGCACGTCGGCCCAGGCCCGCGCCGACATGGCCACCTCGGGCAGGTGCATCGCCGCTCGCAGCGCCGCGTACACCTTCCGAAAGGCACTCTCCACCTGCCGGTGACTGGTCAGGCTGACGCCCGCCAGCGGCTGGTCGACGCTTTTTAACTCGAGAAAGCGCCGGCCAATGGCCACGTGAATGTAGAGGTACTTGTCAAAGTGGCGACCTGGACTGGGCAGCCACTTGGCGGCCAGCGAAGTCGGCTGACCGGCCTGCAGGTTCTCGTAGTCGGCTAGCAACTGCTGCGCATAGAGCTCCACAACGCGGTCGTAGAGGCGGCGAAAGGGGCTGCCGATCTTCTGGTAGGCGGCGGTGAAGAACTGGTAGCGGTAGCGACCGAGCTGCTTCACCTTCAGGCGATCCGTCTTCACGCGGTAGACGGCCTTGTCACCGGCCCTCGCCTTCGCCGGAAAGTAGCTGGCCCTCTTCTTGAACTCCAGACGCTGGGGCTGGGCATGATCTTCGCTGCCTTCTCCCTCGCCCTCTGCAGCATCCTCACCACCACCAATGGGCGCCTTGACAATGTCAATCTGGCGGCTCATTCGGCTTCTCTTTTCCCGGGCTGGAGCTTCCACAGCTTCGGCTTCGTTGTCGCCTTCGTCGCCTCCTTCGGCAACTTCATCATCACCTTCTTCAGCCGCTTCTTCCGACACCTCCTCCTCCCCATGAACAATCAGCCGTCGCCTAATCTGGCGAATGGTAGTCTTTGTGGCGGCCAGCGCCTTGCGCTGCTCTTTGTTCGCCGACGCTCGGAGAATGTGTCGGTCATAGGGCGACACCAGGGGCTCCTTGCGGCCCTCCTCGGTGAAGGCGTCATGCGGGAGGAGCTTCGCCTCGCTGAAAAGCGCCACCATCAGCACATTGAGCAGGTCCTTCCAGCAGCCAAAGGGCTCCGTCAGCAGCGGCAGATTGGCGAGCAGCGTCTCCAGCTGGTTCGCGATGAGCCACTGGGCGCAGATGAGAAACTGGCCGCGAATACCCTTGCCGCGGCGAATGTCCCGTGCATTGAAGACCAACTTCAGCGTGTCCAGCGGCGCCTGCGCCCAGGACGCCTTCAGCAGCTCGGTGGTGCGCTCCGGAGAGCTGCCCTCGATGACGTGAAAGAGAAAGTCGAGGCGGGCGTCGGCGCTGGAGCTGTAGGTGAGCGCCTCATTTTCGGTCAGCACTTCCATTTCGGCGGCGTTGGCGGCGGCTGTGGTAGTCGTGTCGGTGGTCATTGTGTTGTTGTTAAGTAGAATTAGAGCGGCGTTGGCAAGGGAAAGCTATGGAGACGATCCGCTATCGAAGCAACGAGTGATATCACACAACAGAGGAAAGAGCAGTGGGCAAACGATTGTCGGTCTATGAGACAACTTCAGTTGAAGCAACTGCTGAGAAAGTCAGAGAGGCGCGTTTTGCTGTCCAAGCTTCGCTGCTTCTTCGAGTCGCTGAGCATCCGTTGCAGCGCCTCCTTGTGACTTGATGCAGCAGTGGTGGGCGTGCTGGTACCTTTGGCGGTGCTTTTCCGATTCGCAGGCTTCGTCGATGTTCTCGAGGCTGAGCTAGCGTTTCTATTTGCTACCGCCGGCAAGCTGCTGCGGCGAGCTGAGCTGTTGTCGAAGCTGCTATTGCTGCTGTTGTTGCTTTTGATGACGACACTGCTCTTCCGCTTTTTCGAAATGGTGACAATGTTATTTCGGGGCTCCTTCTTGAGGCCGGTAAATTGAAATCGCGAGCGGCAGTGATCGCAACGGGCGTTCAGCAGGTTCGCCTCAAAGTTTCGCCCCTTTTTCTGGTGTCTTTTCCGAGCGGAACTCAGCTTCTTGGGAACTACCTTGAAGTGGCCCAGGCGGCTGTGGCAGTTGGCGCACAGCTCGTTCAGGTCCCGGCGTTTCTCCTTGGAGCCGGTTTTATTTTTAAGCAGCGAAGAACCGATGCCGGCGGCCTCTTCGCACTGCTCCAGACGGCTGTTCAGGTGCCAGCGCAGGTAGGCGGCAATGTGCTGGCGACCGGTGGTCAGTTGGTCAGAGGATGAGGATGAAGACGAGGACAAGGTTTTGGTGGTGAGCACTTTCTGCGCCTCAAAGAGAAACTCGAGCGTTCGGAATTCAGTTGTCGACTCACTGCTGCTGCTGTCCATAGTATGACTGCCGCTGCTGCTGCTGCTCCTGTCAAACGCTTAGGCAACGTTGGCCAGACAAAGGAAAGGGATGGCGTTGGTGAGTCGTCGATGAGTGTGTAACAGGCAGTCTGCTTGATGACTTGCAGCGGTAAAATGTAAACACGTGTGTGCGTCAAACGCTGAACCGGATTGGTAGATGGCGCACTCGTGTTTAGCACTTTCAAGAATTTATCGATTTTTTTGCGATATTATAATTTTTTGCCTTTTTTATTATTTACATTAGATATAAAGATAAAGGGATAAGAAAGATAGTCAATCTGAGGATGCGGAGGAGGTATTTTGTACTGTATTCAGTAATCAAAAGAGGAGGAGGGAAAGGAGGGAGTAAAAACAGTTGGTGCACAGTTTTTTGCTCATACAGTAGTAGTAGTAAAGTCCATTTCGAGGTAAAAAGAAGTTTTTTTCACACACACAGTAGGAGGCCCTTCTTCTAAGTAAAGATGAATGAGAGAGAGAGAGAGCGAAAGATGAACTGCAGTTAGATGCTGACACCGCCAGCGTCCACCGAGCTGAGCGGCGTCGTGTTGACCGCCGACTCCGGAAAGAGGTTGTGGTAGTGGATGACCGGGACAAAGGCGGCGGTGATGAGGCGACCTGGAAAACAATAGAAAAAACAAATTAAAATCATGAACAAAAAATCATCACAAACAAAACTTACCCGCAAACCACCGCCCGTGGAGGGCATTGACGGTGGCGGTGGCCGAGGCAATGGAGGTGCACTTGACGTAGACGTGGCCCTCGTCGGAGGTCTGGTCGACGTAGACGTGGAGGACGCCGCCGTGGTTGCGACACTCCTCAATGACGTCATTGCGAATGTCCTCCGGCCAGCTGGCCGACGCCTCATGGTGCCGGTCAAACATGTTCGTGAGGAGGAAGCACTGCGTGGCAATGGGCGGAATCAGCGTCGAGGAGCCGCCATTCGAGGAGGCGACGGCCACGCCCGAGGAGGAGCTCATCTGAAGGGCGCTCATCGCCGCCTTGGGCAGCTCAATGTCGGTGCCCTCCGCCAGCTTCGCCATCAGCTGCAGCCGCCCGGCGGCGCCCAGCTCAATGCCGCCCCGGTCGATCTCGTCCGAGTCGAAGGCGCCCGGTCCGTGGAGGCCATTGTTCCATCCCGAGTCACCGGCCTTCTCCGTCACGTAGTTGACCTTCATCGCCCGGCCGGCCAGCTCAAAGCCGTTCAGCTGTTCCAGCGCCTTCTTCGCATCCTCCGCCAGGCTAAAGTGCACAAAGCCGTAGCCCTTGGAGCGGCCGGTCTCCGGGTCCCGGGACAGCTCAATCTTCTCCACGCGGCCAAAGGGCTCAAAGATGCCGCGCAGCATATCCTCGGTGATGTTGAAGTGCAGCGAGCCGACGTAGAGGCTCATCGGTCCGTTAGGGCCTCCCGCCGCTCCCGCTCCTCCTCCTCCGACGCCGCCATTTCGNGGCTAAAGTGCACAAAGCCGTAGCCCTTGGAGCGGCCGGTCTCCGGGTCCCGGGACAGCTCAATCTTCTCCACCCGGCCAAAGGGCTCAAAGATGCCGCGCAGCATATCCTCGGTGATGTTGAAGTGCAGCGAGCCGACGTATAGGCTCATCGGTCCGTTGGGGCCTCCCGCCGCTCCCGCTCCTCCTCCGACGCCGCCATTTCGGGCGCCGAGCAGGCCGCTCAGGCCGCTGCCCGCGGCGGCGGTCGTCTTCGTGGAGGCGTTCGCCGCCGCCAGCCGATTCTTCTCCGCCTGCGAGTGCTGCACGACAATGGGCACGCCGCAGAGGCGCGTCCCCGTCATGGCGATCGCCTTGCCCACCGAGTCGATGGCCTTGAACTCGACGTAGGCGATGCCCTTGTGGCGGCGGGTGCGGTTGTCCATGATGAGGCGCACCTCGCGGACGCGGCCCACCTTGCTGAAGAACTCCTCAATGTCGCGCTGGCGGACGCGGGCCGCTAGCTGCATGCAAAAGACCGTCCGTTGATCGCGCTCCTCAATGGGCAGGTCTTCGCGTGGTGTGGGCGATCGGCGGTCGTAGTAGCCGCCACCGCCTCCTCCTCCTCCTCCTCTCCTTCCGCCTCCATAGAGGTCTCGCCGATCGTAGCGGTCGCGACTCAAACTTCGCTGCTGCCTTCGACCCCGATCGTCACGACGGTCGCGGCTGTTCGACCGCCGACTCCGGCGACCGCTGCGCGACTCAACTGCGCGATCACGACTTCGACTTCGACTTCGGCTTCGGTTTCGAGCGGCAGCTGCAGCAGGAAGAGGACTCTGGCTACGGCTGTGGCTGCGACTTCGACTTCGAGGCGACCGACTTGAACTTCGATTTCCTCCTTTTTCGCCTCTTTCGCCTCGACGACGCTTTTCCCTGCTTCGACTGCGCTTGCTGCGCTTCTTTCGATCGCGACTGCGGCTGCGACTTCGCCTCTTGTGCCTCTTTCTGTAATAAAAATTAGTTGAGTTTTTTTACTACCAAGATATTTCTTTACTTACCTCTCCTTGTCGCGCTCACTGCTGTACTCCTTGGTGCCATTCTTCTCCTGGTGTGTGGTAGAGGGAGACGTGTCTCCTCCGTTCAGAGAGCCCAGTCCCGAATCCTGAGGTGTGTAGATTAGGATTTAGTAGTGATTTCAAGTAGTGACACAACACAACACAAGAGGTGAGAGAGTGAGTGAGATCCCCAAGATGGACAGCGTTGAAGAGAGTGAGAGAGGGAGGGAGAGAGTTGGAGGTGGGGGAGAAAGGGAGAATTTTGAGATAAGAAAAAGAAAAACATACATTTCAGTTAGTAGTGACCACATTTTTAAGAGAATGGAAGAGGGAGAAGAATGAGAGAGAGTTTGTAATTTGGTTTTGCGAAATCTATAAAAGGTTTTAAGCAAATAGTGAGCAACAAGAAACATCAACAAGACACAAGAGCAAGCGAGCGAGAGAGAGTGCATCACAGCAGCCACGAGAATCATAGGCCGATTTGTGTGTGCTGTGTGCGCGGGTGCAGTTTTTGTTTGTTTGGTATCATCACATCATCATCATCATTTCTGTGTCAACTGACCGTCTGCAATAGAAAAAGGAAAATGGTTTGAGAATTAATTGTCATTTGGCAGAGGCTCTACGAGATGTGGTTCAGCAGCAGCAGACCACAACAGCACGCTTAGAGAAACTTAGGAGAGTGAGACTTGGAACGCACACTGATATTGGCCCAGTGATGATACTTGATTGACTGATTCGCGGCCGCAGATTTCGAAATCACTATCTGGAACGCAAGAACACATAATACGTTGGTTACTGCGCGTTAGTAGTGATCATCATCATTATCATCATTAGTAGTAGTACATCGGGGTTTCACCGCACTTGCCGCAATCGTCTCACCCGAATTATTTCACCGGCCACGGACGACCCCACAGAGACAGTTTTGGGGGGCGGTCCGCGGAGGAGTGGGAGAGGTGCGTTTCGTTTGCACACATTGGAATTGTCATGACATCAATAGTATCATCATCATTACATCATCATTCTATCGATCATCAATCTATAAAATGAAACACCAAAAATGAAGCCATCATTAATCAGTGGTTGCAGCAGTGTGTGGGTGATGGAAGTAGTGGTGAAAGTAGTGAAAAAAATTGTAAATAGGCAAATGTACAGTAGTAGGCAAGTCTGTTGGGTACACTTTTGCTGTTGTCGTTGTTGTGGTAACGGGGGCGACCAACCCATCCGATCTTCAGTGCTACATCACACGCCCAAACACTGCTGCACTGGACTAAAAAGTGCACCAGAAAGACAAATAAATACAAACCGTGTACACAAGGAGACTTCCTGGCTCTTTTAGAAGCTAAAAACCAAACCAGGGAACAGTGCCCCCAAACGAACCAAACAACACAATGCAGGCAAAAGCGTAAACATCTTTCACTGGACACTTACCTTCTTGCCGAAGTCGACCGGCGCTTCCAGCATCGCTTCGACGTCAAAATCTTCGGCCATCTTCAGTCCGTGGTGGCTGATCGGTGGTGGTGGTGGTGGTAGACGTTTGTTTGTGTGTTTATTTGTTGCTGAGGTAACTTGCACCGAGTTTCGCCGAGTGAGTTCAGCAGCTTTGCCGACGTGACGTTGAAGAGATGAGAAAGAAGAAAGTGGAGCAGCAACAACAGCGAAAGAAAGAAAGTGAGCAAGTGTGCTGCGCAGCCTACGCTGTGCAAAAGAGAAAGTGAGCAGAGTCGGTGGGGTGGAGATAGTGGCGCGGTGCAAATAGCACTCAAGGGAGTTTTGGAATCTCCAAGGCTTTATATTTAGATCGACGGCGGGAAATCCTTATCGAACTTCGATGAAAGTAAGTAAATAATCAGCTAGTGAGATACAGTGGTTTAATGTGCAAAAGTAAGAACAAATGCAAAAAAGTGCAGATTAAAAGTGAGAACACAAGAATTGGTTGGCTGTTGAATGGGGTAAGCGTCGGGCAAGTGCAGTGAACGGGAACGGAAAAAGGAGGTTAATGGCACGATATTAGCTTCAAAAAAAATAGGTAAAAGGCACAATCGTCGATTAGATTATCAAGTAGCTCTGGTTAGTATAGAACACGTAGAAGTAATAAATTCGTAGTATGTTTGGGGGTAAATGTCAAGGTTGATTAAAATCAGATCAGATCAGATTATCACCCACCACCGCTCGCTCAGGCAGCCTTCACCGGTCGCGGAAAGTACTGCGCGTCGGCGGCAAAGAGCTGCATCTCCAGCGGCAGCACCTTCAGCGGACTCCAACCGTCCTTCTGAATCCTCGCTTTCGCCTCCGGCACGTGGTGGAGGACGAACTTGCAGAGGTACTGCAGGGCCTTCTTCTGCTCGGGTTCGGCACCTCGTAATTCAACACCGCCACCACTTTCACTGTACTCAAAATCCAGCAGGTAGGCGAATCGATTGAGAGGCGAGTTCAGGTGAACTGTGTACAGAGAAAGCCCAGTGGAGGTGGCCTGACCAGGAGGAGCTGGAACTTCTTCGCCATTGTTGTTGTTGTTGCTGCTGCTGCTGCTCTTGTCTTCATTCCCTTGCTGCGGATGCAGCTGGCAACCAGTTCGTGAGTAGAAGAAGATATTCTCATCGCCGTAGTTCATGGCGATGGAGATCAGCCCGCCTAGGCTTCGGCTGCCCTCCTCTCGCTTTTGACAGCCCTCACCGCCTCGTCGTCCGCGTTTTTTGGCAGCCTTATAAGCTGCAGCGTGCTCAGTGGAGGAGAAGTACAGCCGCCCGCCGGACTTCTCGATTCGGGTGTGCATCGTCTTGCCGAGAGAGCGGAAGCTCAGCGAGTAGAGAAATCGAGGTCGGTCGGAGGAGTTCCGCACGAGGAAGGTGCCGTCCTTGCGACCGCGAAGCAGAGCTTCGGCGTCTCGACGGCTGATGCCGCCCCAGAACCAGCTGTAGCCGACCAGGTCCAGGCTGGTCTCCTCCTTCTCCTCCTCGTCGTCCTGCTCTTCATCATCCTCTTCTTCCTCCTCCTCCTCCTCCTCATTACCGTTTTCTACCTTTTCAACCGCTCCTATTTTAGTTCCGACTGTAATAGGGGAAGTTGGTTTTGGAGGCAGTGCCGGTGGTGGTGTTTTGGATGATCTGCCGTTTACTGTGTCTTTGTTGTCGTCTCCGCTTTCTCCGTTAGCTGTGGCATCTTCAGCTGCCGCTATCTCCTCTTGATGATCATCGTCTCCTCCTCCTCCTTCACCATCACCATTACCGGCTCCAGGGCTGTTACCGGTCGGTTTGACCTCAATCACCCCGTTGATCTGTATCAGCTCACTCTGCGTCAGCTGCACCGAGGTGATCGGATCGGAGATGGTCACCCGCGGCTCGCGGCTCTTTCGTCGCAGCCCTCGTCGAAGGGAGTTGTACCAGCTGCGCACTTTAGTCGGTTTCTGCTGCTGCTGCTGCTGTGATGATTCTTGGTCCTGTTTAGCTGCTCCATTGAGTGGCTCGGAATTGGCCACCTTTTGCACTTCCTCATCCTCATTCTCGTCAGCTGCCGATGAGATGCACAGCAGCTTCATAGCTGCGGATGTTAACAGGTGGTTTCGAAAAAAGAAGATTCTAGTTTGGAATATTCGAGAGTAGATGCAAATGAGGAGAACAAAGAGCTGCTGTGGAGAGAGAGGATGTTGCTGCTGCCGGGGTAGTAATTGTTTGAGGATGGGATGTTCGGCGGCGGCGGCGGCGACAGAGGCTGCCAGAAAGTGTAAACAAGATCTGAGTCAGTCAAGTCAGTCACGATGACTCTCTCCTCTTTCTCTTTCTCTTTCTCTTTCTCTCAGCTCTTTCTCTCGCCCAACAAGTGGTTACTGTAGTGGCAGCAGCAGCAGCAGAAGTAGCCCTGCCTCTCAAGAACTCGCCGAGAGAAGAGCAGAGCTGCAGCGAGCGACTGAGTTGCTCAAAGTAAGTGACACTTCTCTGGCGAGGCGATGGCGCTCTCTGATAGCCACAGTCTGCTGCTGCAGCATCTGGCGATTACCACCAGCAAAAAATAGAGTAAAAAATGCCAGCCAGCCGGCCAGCCCGAGCAACTTGATCTGCCCAGCAAATACCACCAAACAGATAAATGTCTCTCTGGCGGTGGTAGTGCACAGAGGTCTTTTAACAACGAGGAGGACTCTTTTTATTGGCCTGACTCAGTGAGTGAGATAAATTGCAGAGAGGAGAGGAGACATTAGAGCCGACAAAAGGAAAAGAAGAGAGAGAGAGAGAGAAGGAAGAAATCCATCAGCCGACACTGCACGGAAAACAGAGAAAAGTGCTGCTGGGGGATCAGTGTCAGATGTGTGTCTGTGTTTGAGTGTTTGTGTTAGTGTGCTCGTAATCGGGCGGACAATAGTATAAAGAGAGAGAAGAGTATCATTCTGACAGAGTGGAGAACGACTAAACTGTTCCCACACTGTTCTTTCAGATTGTAGAAATTTCTTTTTTTGCTGGCCACCGCCCACGCTTTGATAAAAACAATGTGTTTGAATGTATGTTTGATTTTACATTAAAATTGACAAAAATGGTGTGTGTGTTTGTTGCACGCTGTTTTCAGCTTGGACGTGGAGGAAGGAAGAGAGTTTGGCAAAGACAACAACAGGCTTGGATACTACTACCTCCAGAAAACTATGATCAAAAGAGAAAGTAGTAGTAAAAGTGAAGGTGCTCAGCAATTGTGGAAGCTTTACAGGAAGAAAAAAGATGAAAAGGATGAAATGTGGTGATGAGAAATTCTCACAGGTGATTCGTAATGAGGAGGACGATGAGGGTAACATAAAATCAATCAATCAATCAAACAAACAGACGCATTCATTCATTCGCAAACAAGTAGGGAAGTGTTGGCACTAGGCATTGGAGAAAGAAAGGGGGTAAAATGAATGAAGGGAAAAGAAACTAGAGGAACATTCGTTTCTGAATCAAAGAATAAATGGAGAAAGAAAAGAAAGGGGAGAAAACAAAACAGCACCACAAGGAAGGACGTTACTTATTACTTATTACTGCCGGCGTTCATCAGCGACAGCTCAAACTTGGCGCCCAACATGCCCACCATCGACTTGGGCCGCTGCTTTGAAGAGGAGGAAGAAGAATTGACAGAAGAGGAAACGGAAGAGGCCGTAAAAGAGCTGGGGGCGGCGCTCGGGACGTAGGTGGACTCTTCGCCAGAGCTGCTGGTGCTTCCACCACTTCCGCCACCGCTGCCAAAAGCCTGCGTAATGGAGGCCTTCGAGGGCGACTTGTGCAGCTCACCAAANCTTATTACTTATTACTGCCGGCGTTCATCAGCGACAGCTCAAACTTGGCGCCCAACATGCCCACCATCGACTTGGGCCGCTGCTTTGAAGAGGAGGAAGAAGAATTGACAGAAGAGGAAACGGAAGAGGCCGTAAAAGAGCTGGGGGCGGCGCTCGGGACGTAGGTGGACTCTTCGCCAGAGCTGCTGGTGCTTCCACCACTTCCGCCACCGCTGCCAAAAGCCTGCGTAATGGAGGCCTTCGAGGGCGACTTGTGCAGCTCACCAAAGATGGTCGCCCGCTTGGCGATGCTCGCAGTGCTGCTATTGCTGCTTCCGTTTCCGTTTCCGTTACTGTTGTGATGGGTGTGATGGTGATTATTATTAGGCTCAGAAGCAGTGGTCTTCCCTTCTAAAGACNAGATGGTCGCCCGCTTGGCGATGCTCGCAGTGCTGCTATTGCTGCTTCCGCTTCCGTTTCCGTTACTGTTGTGGTGGGTGTGATGGTTATTATTAGGCTCAGAAGTAGTAGTCTTCCCTTCCAAAGATTGCTCAGGACTGCTTCGCTGCTGCTTCATCTCCGCCAGCGTCCCCGCAAAGGTGGGCCCAGTTTCATTTAGGGGCGTCGAGCCGTGTGATCTTTTTTCCTGCTTCGCCCTCATCTCTGCCAAAAACTCATTGTGGGAGTTGTCACCAACGGGCACCGGACTTCCACCGCCTCTGCCGCCATTTTCCGGCCCATCAGAACAGATGGAAACGTGCTGATCGGAACGCTTGGCAGAGAAGAAAGTCGGCGAAGGGGCGCGAATAAAGTCATCGTTTTTCAGCGTAATGTGCGAAGAGGAGGAGGAGGAGGTTGAAGTGGACGGATTCGGCGGCTGTTCAACGCTTATCGATTTCACCGAAAAGACAGGCTGTTGCTCACTGGGCGGCGGTGGCTGTTCGGTGCTCTTGTTGAAGCCAAACTTTCGCAGCAGCGGCGTCGTCTGCTTTCGCGGCTGAGGCTGTGGACGGGCGGAAAGAGGCGGCGGTGGCGCTGCTGCTGAGGAAATTATCTGAACTGAAGAAGGTTGAACTCCACTGGGCGACTCCTTAATCGTCGGCAGCGAGATCACCTCCTTAATGTCCAGCGAGTTGGCTGAAGCGGAGTTTGCGGCAGCAGCAGAAGATAGCGACACTCGAATCGTCGGAAAGAAGCTGTCCAGACCTTCGTCCAACTTTGCCGTAGCAGAACTTCCGCCCAGTTCCGATAACGGACT